GAGCCAAATAATCGGTGAGGACAGATGTCCCTGGCTCATGCTGAAGGCGCGACAGGACTTCCAATGTGGTAAAGACCACACACCAGCCTCCTGCCATGTTAGAGGGCCCATTGCAGTACTAATATCTTGCTGTTCTCAGAAATGACGTGGAAGTTCAAAAAGAGTTTTGCTTGCTTTTCTACATTCACTAACTGTTAGTGACCCTGTCTACTAGTTGATAGAACATCAGTGATAACATTAAGAGATTTTAGTTGAAAAAAATATAAATGCCAATAAACGTATAGAGAGATCTGTTCAACTTGAAATTAGGGAAATACAAAAATAATATGGCCATAAAGTATCATTTTCACATGCCAGATGAGCCAAAGTTAAAAAGATGGATAATGCTCAACATTGGTAAGTTTAGTAGAGAAAGCAAGTATTCTCAAAAGATTGCTAGTCAGAGTATAAACTGGTACCACCACAATCTTATGGAGGGAAATTTGGCATTATGTATCAATCAAAATTTAAAACAGCACATCCCCTTTGATGCAGTGATGCTATTTCTAGAACTTTATCCTAAAGAAGTAATCTGACAAATATGTAAAAATACATGCACAAAGTTGTCCATCATAGCCAATAAAAATTTAGAAATAACATAAGTGTGCAACATGAGAGATTTGTTTAATATAGCACAATTCATCTAAACACAATTTACACATTAAAATAACTATGTGGAGTTACAATTATCAAAAGGAAAATAAATCCATAATATATTTTTAGGTGTCATGAAAAGGTCAGCTTAAAAAAAAGAGTATAGATGAAATGACTCCATTTTTTGTTAAAAAAAAAAAAAACATTTACAAGTATGTGTGTGCATTCTTTTAAGAGTAGATGGTGATTGGGGCTGGCCTGGTGGTGTAGTGGTTAAGTTTGCTTGCTCCCCTATGGTGGCCTGGGGTTCCTGGGTTCGGATCCCGGCACACACCTACACTCTGCTTGTCAAGCCATGCCGTGGCAGCATCCCACCTACAAAGCAGAGGAGGATTGGCACAGATGTTAACTCAGGGACCATCTTCCTCAAGCAGAAAGAGGAAGATTGGCAACAGATGTTAGCTCTGGGCCAATCTTCCTCACCAAAAAAAAATAATAAGGAAAAGAAAAAGAATAGATTGTAATTGATTTTATTTTGTTTTGGCATAATGCATAGTGCAAACAAATGGATGATATCCAAATACAATAAGGATATTATATTTGGAAATGTATAGGGGAAAGAAAAGGGAAATCTTAAAGAAATATGCTCAATGGTATGCTGGTAAATATTTAACAACCAGCCTTCAGGTGGGGCAGGGTGGAAGTCCTGCGTAGCATGTACCAATTTCTGTGGCATAAATACTCCCAACATTATTCATTTCCAGCTAATAATGTGACATCACTGAATGCAGAGTTGGGATGAGATGTACAGTAGCACACCATTACATAGTATTTCCTCGATGCAGACACATTAGATGTAAGTAATTGCAAGAGTATAGATAATATTAAAATGTAGTAAATTATTAGAAAGTAATGAGTTTTGTGTATGCATTTTTTGTAAGTCTGGAAGGAGTCAGGATGGAAAGTTCATGAATCATATTTACTTCATTCTTTAGACCTTTATATATCATTTCAATGTTTTTATAATAAACATGTTACCTTTATAATCATTTGCTAAAACCTAGGAAATAAGAAAAATCAGGGCACATTACTTGTAAAAAAGTCTCACTGGAACAAAACACTTCCCCAAAAGAGTATGATTTCATTAGGGTGTAAGTAAGATGATGGTGAGCAATGTCGGAATCAATTAAACCATGATATCTTTGATCAGTCACAGTATGAGGAAATGAGCACTCAGTGTTTCTAAGGCCTTTCAAAATACAAAGAGGTAACATCAGAATTCAAAGGAATTTAAGCTCCCAGGCCATCTGATACTCTCACTTCACAAATAAGGAAACTGAGTGCCAAGACAGGTAGACGTTTTCTCCAAGTAAGCACTACAAGGCAGGGTATAAGATAACTCAGCTCCTCTCCATTTGTAAATCGTCTCTATAGCTTGTGAATGAAAGTATATATTCCTCACTTGTCATTATTTAATGAGAAGCAATGACTTCATTTCGGGGGGCCGGTATTCATTCAATTGGTTAATTGCCAAAGCCCTGACTCCTATCTTTGTTTAGATAATAGCAGCTCACACTTCTCCAGAATTTTATACTTCCCAAACCACTACCACACAGATTATCTCAGCTGATTCTCATAAGAGTCCTGTGAGACACGCAGGGTAAGAAAGACTACTCCTATTTTATAGCTATGAAAACTGAGGCTAGAGCAGGCAAGTGGCTACTGAGAGCCGGGCATCTGGTCCGGTCATGGTGTTGTATGGGAGGGAGTCAGTCTCCTTTTTGAGGCCTTTCTGAAGCAGTCATCTGGGTGACCTTCTGTGAAGGTCTCTCCTCCCCTTTGCTTCCTTGGCCTTCCAACACGTTCTTTCTTCCATTGGCTCCAGTCTCATTTTACACGTAAAGATATTACTTTCAGATCACTTAGAATTGCTCTTTAGTTCTGATTTCTTTAATTCTAGAAGGGAATATAGTCCCAGACATCTTTAGGCCTGGAAATATTCCTCTTCTTCTTTATTTGACGTGAGGGTTAAACGCTAAAATGTTGTTTTCTCTTGAAATTTGAAGTCATCCCCGCCATCGGAGGAATGACTTCTGCAAAGGTCCCAACGGTATATATTTTAAAGCAAGATACTGTAAACACTGTGGTGTGACACATTTCTAGAGAATCTTGGTTTTCTAAAAGGGATTCACATTGAAGTGAGAGGAGACAGACTTATTCAGGAAATACAAATCATATATAACAGAACAGATCCTGGGGAATCTAAGAAGAGCAGATAATCTCCTTAGCTTTGTTTTATTAAGGGAGGAAGTGTGTTCTCCTGTTAAGAGTAAACTGTCCTCCCCAAGAACTGAAAAAGGTATCAGTGGGCTACGTTCAGATTCAGAGATAAAAGAGCTACCAACTTAAACTAACCTACGTGCCTGCCGCCTGAGCTCCTGGACTTATGTAACGTTAGACAAGCAAATTCTAGGTGCATCCCTTTCCTCATCCTTAAAGTGGGAATCATAGCACCTGCCACACAGGGTGTAGTGGAAATTAAAGTAGCTAGTGGCCAAGGAAATATTTTGTAAAGTAAGAATCACTATGAAAATATGTGGAATACATTTAAGATAAGTTTACTGCTCTGGGCAAGGGGGAGGGAGTAGTGAGTTGAAAAGGAACAGAGTGTCAGACGTAGCAGCAGGCAGGTGGCCAGGTTTGTCCAGGCAGAGCAGGATGGAGAGCTCAAGAGTGCATACTAATGGCTGCACCTCCTCAGAGGCGAGTGGCCAAATGACTCCTCTCCAGAAAAGAAAACACAGTGTCCCTTCCCATATCGCAGGCCCTCTCCTAACCAGGCTTTCAGCTGCATACAAAACTAAGTTGACACCCTGATGCATTGGATGGTGCTATGATGCAGATGAACTATTAACAAAATTGCTTCGCTAGAATGTGTAGGCTGAAGAAGGGATAGTAGTTTCCCTAGACCTAAGAACATCTGCTAGCAAGTAGATGACTCTTAACGACTCTCAACTCTCGAATGACAAATTGTTGAAGAGCAGAAATGAGTGTATGAGAAAAGAGTAGGTGTATTTCGATCTGAGGATTTGAGGGAGAATAAAAAACCATTGGAAAGAAGGAGACCCTGCCTTCTGGCGAAGAGTATTCAAGATGAGAATCAAATTTTCAACTTAATATAAAAAGTAATGGAATATTCACTCTCTAAAGAAACCACTTTGGAGAAATAAGGATGATATTGAGCATGAGGTCAGAAGGTCATTTCTGGTGACATTTGTGTAAGGCCTGAAGGCAATTGTCATTTGGTTAAGAAAGCCACTTAAATTTGGATGCCTTTTACTCCCCTATAATTTTTTCAGCTTTGATAGCAGAAGGGCTCTACTCTTGAAGGTCCAAAATATGTTGCTGCTATAGGAACAGGTAAGCAGATTAGACTTGAAAGACCAGTTTAGGAACAAAGATTTAATAGTCAGGCTAACACAATTAACCAAGAAAACATTTTAAGTAAATATCTTTTAGGTTTGTTATTTATATATTAATTCCAGGAAGATAAAATGCTATTATAGAATGATAGCATCACATTTTAACATTTTAATTACACCATTACTGGCGTAAAAGACTATGCTTATACAATTAGCAGAAAGGCCTTATTAAACAGAGTACACATTTCTAACTCTCTCTTGATTACATTGTAATTGACAAATACAGCTTTAAATTCAGCAAGAGCATAAGAATCATCTTTGAATTTCCTACAGTTCCCCAGATGGGAACACATCTAAAATAAAAGAGACAGTGAACTACAGAAAGTTTTCTGTAACAATCTCTATAACTAGGGAGCTACAAGTAAAATTCTAGAAGTAAACAGAAATATGTGTGTAGGCTGATAATTGTTAATATTTTATGTTTTCCCTGTCCGATGGTCTTTGTGAACACAGATATGTGAGAAGAGAAGAAGGTCAAAGATCCAGGCGCACTCCTCCACTATTAATGTTCTGCCTTATCCTATCAGGGAATACACTGCTCCCACCTTGAGGGATTTGCTGAAGTTATTAGAAGTTTTGAACAGAACGTGCTATGTGGTGAGGCTCAAAAACACATCATGAAGTGGCACTGTGCTTCTCTCCCTTTCTGTTTTACTTAAAAAGAAAACATTCTTGATAAAATTAATACAATATTTTCATTCTAACAAATTTCTGCTGTTGGAGGTCACATTTGTGGGACAGAGAGATTTCTTGGACCTTATCTTTTCTCACCTAATACCAGAAGCAAATTGCAGAGAAGTATGTGAGTGTGTGTCTGAGAATGTGTGTGTGTGTTGGAGGCTGGGGAACGGGAACGAGAAGAGGGAAAGGTGGCTAGAATCTTACCATCTCATTCTCTTCTCCTTCATTGAGCAAAGCGTGCTGGCCCTTCTCAAAGTGGTCCCCCATGAAAAAGTGATTCCACGCCTCCTCCCTGACTTTCCCCGAGCAGACGCTTCCAGGACGAACTTGCTGAGCCACCACCGCTCGCCAGCTGACTGAAAGAGTTAATGATCCTCCAGGTTAAAACTCCTTCTTGAGCACACACCTTCTCTCAGCAAATGACAATACTTAGCAAACTGAACTCCTCCCACGAGTCACCCTCTGCTCAGAGGAATTTCTGCCTGCCCCTTGCTTACTGCATTCTCTCAGAGCAGCTGTCCCAAAGGAGGCTGCTCCCATGCTGATCTTTTTGTGCCCAACTTACAGGGACAGAACTCATTGCGTTCCCAGTGCCTGCCAGCGTGAGACATCTGACTGCAAATCCAACAGGACAATGCAGAGTTGGCAGGACCCTACTGAAGAGCGGGGAGCAGGCACAAGAACTCCCAGGTCACTGCTTCATTCCCAGAGGCTGAGGAACTGGGGTCGGGGGAGGATAACAGAGCTGCAGATTTGGTTACTGAAAGCCCCAATCCATCGGCTTGTCATAGTTTTGCTCATTCCTTTTGCTTGCAAAAGGTACAAATTATGACTACTCCTCTTCAAAAGGTATTTGTAATCACATTTCTTTGTGTATGCAAAAAGCTTTCTACTTAATGTATACATGGAATTAAGTTTACTTTTTTGAAAAACATGTAGGGAAAGAACAAAGGTATAATCAAACTATTTTATGTAGTCTTCTTTCACTAAAATATTGGTGGTTAAATTCTTAAGAGGGTCCAGAAATAAAATATTCAAATGACTGTATGTTAAGACTCCTTTTTTTATTTTTTCACACATTCATTCAATACACATTGTTTGAGCACAGGGATGGCATATATAAATCAAGTCATATTTGCGGATATAGGGATCCAAATATGCAAACAAATATGATAGAAGGTGGTTTGTTATTATGAAAGCTGGAACAGAAGTCCAAGATAAATGGCAGAAATCCCAATGTGGTGGAGGGGAACACACGTCCACCCTAGCTCTGGAAAAAACCTGGATTCCAGCTGCCCATCTGCATTGGTCAAGCTGTGTGATCATTTAACCTGCAGGAGCTAGCCCTTCTCGTTCAGTAATCGAAGGAATTGAATGTGGACTCATGAAAGTGTATCGTACAGCACTGATCAAATGCTGTTGGTATAATTAAGCTAAATGTCCAATTGAACAGCAGGCGGTTGACCATAGTGGTCAAGGGTATGTGCTGTGAATTTGGAGGGCCTGTGTTCACATCTGGGCTTTACTAGCTATGCCACCTTAAGACAACAATTTTCATAAACTTCATAAGCCTCCATTTGCTCACATGTAAAAAAAGGTTAGAATAATAGAACTTACCTCCTAAAACTCCTGTTGTGTGAAGAATAGCACCTGGGAAAAAGTGTGTGTTCAATAAATGAGTTATTTTTCCATTCATTGTGGTCACCCACTCTCCTTCAAGCTGTGTACAACTGTTGGCATTGATATCCCCAACCTGACACTAGTAACCCTAACAAGACCAAGAATAAAGTGTGTATGTGCGTGTGTGTATGTAAAACAATGAGCAAATGGTAAAGTATAAGACAAACATAAAAAATAGTAAGCTATTGTAATGGTAATTAAAAACTATATATGTGCTGTTCTCTGAATTTCTAAAAATTGTTAGCACAATTTAACCAAATAAATAAAAATAAAATGAACATTTTATCACAAGATTGAAAGATGAAGAGTATGGGATTTCCTTTGAGGGGGATGAAAATTTCTGGAATTAGTGGTTATGGTTGCACAACATTGTGACTATACTAAAATTCAGTGAATTGTATATTTTTTAAAGGGTGAATTTTATGAATGTGAATTATGTCTCAATAAAAAACTATACCTCAAAAAAAAGTAAGTGAGGGGCTGGCCCGGTGGCGCAAGCGGTTAAGTGCGCGCGCTCCGCTGCGGCAGCCCGCGGTTCGCTGGTTCGGATCCCGGGCGCGCACCGACGCACTGCTTGGCAAGCCATGCTGTGGCGGCGTCCCATATAAAGTGGAGGAAGATGGGCACAGATGTTAGCCCAGGGCCGTCTTCCTCAGCAAAAAAAGAGGAGGATTGGCGGATGTTAGCACAGGGCTGATCTCCTCACAAAAAAAAAAAAAAAAAAAAAAGTAAGTGAACATTTTAGAGATCTAGCAGGCAGTCATTTAAATATTTAGCAGAGAAAAAAATAAAACAAGAAAATTTCAAACATTATCTCAACTGTCAGAGGTTGAAGGGTGTTAGTATGTGAAGTGGTAAAACTATACCACTGCTGGCATGCAGGTGAGACAGAAGTCTTTCATTCTATTGTCTATAATTGGCGATACTTGTACTGTTTCCTTCTGGCTAGGTTCCTGAATACATTTGGCAATTCATGCACCATTGTGGAGTTAAGATGAGTGTGTAACTGACTTAGAGTTACAGGAAAAACTGCACACAAACTTACCCCATTATACAAATCTGGTTATGCCATAACAATATTTAAGCTAAACTTGAATAGCAAAATAAGTCCCTAAGAACATAAACTTTTGTAAAAACTCAGAGTCCACAGAAAATCATTTTCAACATGGTCCAGTAGAACTGAGGACTTTGAAATATGTAGTGAAAGAGTTTCCTCATGTCCCTCAAGGAGTTCTAATGGTGAAACATCCAGCTGCTCTGTGGCAGCGTGACGTAGGGGCAGTGCTCTCCTTCTTTTAGTGCTGTTGGTCTACAAGCATGAGCGAACGCAGAAACAGGGCTAGATGCCAGGCGAGAGCAAACAGAGCATTTACTGAACTCTTGCATATACCAGGCACTATTCTAAGCATTTTATACACATCATTGCACAATCCTTACAATGGCTCCTGTGGTCAGTACTATTATGGTCATCTTCACTTAGTGGTCAAGGAAACACAGGTGCAGAACATTAATGATTTGCTTTAATCCAACAGTTAGGAAAGAACGAGTATCTGGACCAGGCAGTACAGCTCTCTTAATCCATGATCCTAGTTACTAGGCTAACACTGCTCCTACTGGTTTATTTGGCATGTCCAAAGTGCTCTGCAAGGGATGTTGCATTTATATGACCAGGAAAGCCTCTTTTTGGAGGAAGCATTTGAGAAAGCCCTTGAAAACAGACAGGAAAGGCTTCAACAGAGAGAGATACTGGGGCCCGGACTGGGAGAAGGCCACAGCAAAGAGCATTTAAAGCAAGGGAGCCAGAGGGAAGAGAAACACACAGGCTTGTGCAGAGTAAGTCCATCACCTTTGCTGCAGCCAGGGTGTGTGCGAAGGAAGAAGAGGGGAATAAGACGTAGCAGGAAATACAGATCAATGCCATTCCATGGAGGTCTTGAATTTGAGGCCTGCGTCTGGGCATAACGCAATGAGTGATGACGTCAGCATCATTACTGAATGAGTAATGATGTGATTACTCATGAGTGATCCAATGAGTGAAGGCAAACTGATCTCAGACATATGCATATTTTTCTTGATCAGCCTGTCCTTAAATATTATAGAAACCATTGCATAAGCAGGTTCTAAAGTGACTCAGTTTTTCTAGATAGTATTATATGTATTCAGACAGTTTCCTTCAATCCTCTAAGTTAAATCTTTTATTTCCTTTGGAACATTGTTTGAAAGTTTATTCTTTTTCAAAAAAAATTTTTTAATAGATTTTGCTTTTTAGAGCAGTTTGAGGTTCACACCAAAATTGAGCAGAAGGTATATGAGAGATTTCCCATATACTCCTTGCATACACACAACCTCCCCCACTACCAGCATCCCCCACCTGAGTGGTAAGTGGTACATTTGCTACAATTGATGAACCTACGTTGACACATCATTATCACCTAAAGTCCATGATTTACATTAGGGTTCACTCTTGGTACTGTACATTCTACGGGTTTTGACAAATGTATAGACATGATCCACCATTATAGTATCATACAGAGTAGTTAGTTCTACAGCCTTAAAAATTCTCTCTGCTGCCCCTGTTCATCCCTACATCTCCCCTAACCCCTGGCAACCACTAATTCTTTTACTGTTTCCATAGTTTTGCCTTTTCCAGAATGCTATATAGTTGAAATCATACAGTATGTTGCCTTTTCAGATTGACTTCTTTCATTTAGTAATATGTATCTAAGTTTTCTCCATGTCTTTTTGAGGCTTGATAACTCATTTTTTAGAGCTAAATAATATTCCATTGTCTGAATGTACCTCAGTTTGTTTATCCACTCACCTACTGAAGGGTGTCTTGGTTGCTTCCAAGTTTTGGCAATTACAAATAAAGCTGCTATAAACATTTATGTGCAGGTTTTTGTGTGGACGTATGCTTTCAACTCATTCGATTATGTCACTAAGGAATTGCAAATTAAAACAACAATGAGATACTACATATTTATTAAAATGGCCAAAATCCAAATATTTATGACACCAAATGCTGGCAAGGATATGGAGCAACAGAAACTCTCATTCATTGCTGGTGGGAATGCAAAATAATACAGCCACTTTGGAAGACAGTTTGGCAATTTCTTATAAAATTAAACATCTTACCATATGATCTAGCAATTGTGCTCCTTGGTACTTACCCAAAGGAGTTGAAAGTTTATTCTTTAAATCAGTCTGTTTTTCATTTTGCCTGTTCAGTATTTCTATTCTGCACTACATGTGCCTCACAGGGTGAGATATGGCATGGTGAGAAAAGCAGATGTGGCTTTGGTATGGTCTGAATTCAAATCTTGACATTTTGCTGACAGATTCCATTCATTCATTTATTTGGCACTTATTTGATTAACTTCAGTACCCCAATACTGGTACTAGATGAAGGAAAGGGACTAATAAAATACACCCCGGAAGAGTTGTCTATTAGGAAGCAAGACCAACACGAAAGTATAAATTCCAAAACATGTGCTAATTACAAAAGTCCAGGTAGGGAGTTAGACCAGGAAGGCTTCACGGAGGTGGGGAGTTCTATGCTGGCCCAGATAAATAGAGATGGTTAGGGAAAACATTGTTGACAAAAGAGACTGAAAGCAAAGGCCCAGAGGAGGATTTGCCCACGAGCTCTTTCAGAGACTACAAATTATACACATATATTGATAACTTAGAATTGAGAGAAATGTCCAAGAGGAAAAGTTGCTTTAGTCATGCCCTGATTCTCTCCCTGCACTCATTTCCTCTTAAACACTCCATCTCAAATAAGAGTGGAAAAGGGGGAGAAAAAAAAGAAGAAGAAGAAAATAAATAATCAGCTACCTCTTTGCTGATCTGGTATCTCAGCTTGCTTTAATTTATCCTGGAAGCACGTCCGCTGCTCTGAGCAGTTCTCAACCTCTTTGAGTATATATAATAGACGTCAAATGGAAATAATGGCAGTACTCGTTTCTGCAAAGACTGTGGGGATGCTGATCCTTCACTCGCTTAACCCATTTAGATGGTTTGATGATAAGTGGTTTCACCATATATTAATTTCCACCTTTCATCTGAGAACTCCACAGCATATTA